TCGGGAACTCGGGGGGACGCCTAAGCTAGGCCCCAGCGGCTTGTGTCCACCGCCAGCCGGGATCTAAGGCCACGGGTCTCTGCCTGCGCCTGGCGCCCGCACTACAGAGAGAAACTGCCCTCACCAGGTCTTTAAATGTTTTCGTTTCCTCCTCCTCCACGGCCGGCTGCGGCGCTTCTGTAGGGGAACCGTGATCCTCGGGCGCCGCCATGCTGTCCGGCGGCTCCGGAAGTGGGGCGGCGGCGCGCGGGATGCTGGGTAATGTAGTTGTAGTCCCCCCCGCCCCCGACCGCGTGTTATGGGCGCCCCCCTGCGGCCTTGCCGGGTTTTGCACCAACGGACCGGAGGGGTGTGGCTTCGCGGAAACCTAGTGGGAAAGTTAGGAATGGATATGAGTGTGGACTTTTGCAACTGAACCGAGTATAGAAGAGGCCCATGACCAGGGCCTCCGATATGCCCTTCAGATCCCCGCCCATTATGCTCCTTACTTTTCTAACCATAGAGTTTTAAACAGGTTGATATCACAATACTATTTATTATAATTATTATTTCATTTATTTATTAAAACATTTGTTGAGTGCCTACCATATGCTAGGGCTATGTTTTATGCTTAGTGACAATATATGCTTAGTGACAAGGGCAGCGTCCTCTACCCTCGTGGAGAAGACAGATAATAAATGATCACAGCCCTGGCCGGTTTGGCTCAGTGGATAGAGCATCAGCCTGCAGACTGAAGGGTCCGGGGTTCAATTCCAGCAAGGGCACATGCCTGGGGTTGCAGGCTCGATCCCCAGTAGGGGGTGTGCAGGAGGCAGGGATCAATGATTCTCTCTCATCATTGATGTTTCTATCTCTCTCTCCCTCTCCCTTCTTCTCTGAAATCAAAAAAATATATTTTAAAATAAATAAGTGATCACAGAGCATTGTGCTAAGCGAAATAAGCCAGTCAGAGAAAGATAAATATCACATGATCTCATTCATTTGTGGAATATAATGAACAACATAAACTGATGAATATAAACAGATCCAGAGACAGAGAAGCATCGATCAGACTGTCAAACCTCAGAGGGAAGGTGGGGGAGGGTGGGGGTAAGAAGGAGAGATCAACCAAAGGACTTGTATGCATGTATATAAGCCTAACCAACCAATGGACACAGACAACAAGGGGGTGAGGGGGGCAATGGGGCGATAAGGACACATATGTAATACCTTAATCAATAAAGAAAAAAATATAAATCCTTAAAAAATAAAATAAAATAAAAATATATTTAAAAAAATAAGTAAGTGATCACTGATTCTTTCAAATTGTGGATTAATTATTAACTGGTTAATAATGCAGATTGGCCATTAACTGGTTAATAGTGCGGATTGGCTGTTACTGGTTAATAATGCGAATTTTGTAATTCAAGGAAAACACGATAATTTCAAGAGAAACATCAAAATGCTTTATTCAAAGTAATGTCCATCGCTAGCTACACATTTCCCCCATCTTTCAGGTAATTTGTGGATACCGTCCCAATAGAACTTTTCTTGTTTTGAGGCAAACCATTCAGAGACCCAATTTTCCACTTCTTCGTACGTTTTAAAGTGCTGCTCAGAAAGTGCATGTGCCATCACTTGGAACAAGTGGTAATCTGAAGGAGCAAGGTCTGGTGAGTTCAACATCCGCCAAGAAAGGAGTCCAATAAACACCCCACGCTCTCAAATGATACTCTTAGAAGACATCGCCCTAGGAAAGAGTGTGATATACAGGTAGGACAACTGTAAAACCAGCCCACTACTTCAGATCCCCCATCCCTCCTGGGATCCAGGGGTGGAGCACATGACCTAGAATAAGCCAACGGGTGCATGTCTCCCATCCTCTATTACAATGATTGATTCAACAGTGTGCACAGTGTCCTAGTAAGGCTAATCAAGGCCAGCAGACTTAATTCTGGGACTTGTGTTTGAACTATCGGTTAAGTGTGCTTCTCCTCTCTCTCATGCTAGATTTGGTATGCTGATGAGCCTGAAGCTGCCAAGGCCTACCATATAGAACCTAAAGAATGTAGCAAAAATTGTGAAGAGACAGAAAAGAAACAGTAAAATCTAAGATCTGACATCACTCTTTGTCTTATTCCAGACCACAGCAGAATTCCCCAGGGTTTGCCTGGAGCAAAAAGTTAACATCCCCACCTATGTCAACTCAACAAGGAGAGATTTATTGCAATTAACTAAATGGACACTTGTTAAGACAGGAACACATTGCTACAGCACAAACAGGATCCCAGCATGTGGCTGGCTTTGCAAATAGGGTCTTGCCAACACAGCTTTTTTTTTTGGTTGCACACCCACTAACAGTACAGCATCTGGACCCAGGCATGTTTCCAAGGTGGGGAGACTCAGGCTGGCTGGCACTCAGATAGGGAGACCACCTCCACATAGGAGCTCTTGACTGACTCTAGCAACCACTGCAGGCTCTCTGATTGGATTGCTGGACCCCCTATCCTATGTCCACCTTCCTAACAGAATATAGGTATATTGGGATCCACCAGTTTTTAGCTAAAAATTATTACATTTCCCTTGCACGGTCAAGATCAGTGATTTGCAAGGTGAAATTTTCTGGAGATTTGTGAGGAAATTTTGCCTCCTGGGAAAAACTGCTGGAAGTCTGATTTCTAGGTAATAAGAATATTCCTGTACATGAGTTAACTGCTTTTTAAAAATTGATTTACATGGTTTGATACTGAATATTCTAAATGAAAGTGATTAAATATCTGCCCTTTTCAGTTATTAATTCGTACACAGGCAAACATGAGATTAGGTGATTAATTACAGAGATCAAAACATTTGAGGAATGGACAGTTTATTTCAATTGGGGAAAGAACTAATTTTGCTACAGTGGGGGGGGGGGACACGGAATTCAAAAATTGCTGCATTTAACTGAACCCCTCTTTATCTCTGTAGTGTCTTTATCTCCATGTCTCAATTCCCTCTTTCTTTTCACACCAAGGCATTGAATGAGAACTATATCAAGTTGACTGATGGTTTGACATATCTGATTTAAAGTGGCTTCTACACCACTCTCTCTCTCTCTCTTTTTTTCTCCCAGTACACACTTTTGACTTTGACATTTGCCATATTGGAAATGACAGATGCCTTAGGGCAAACGCATCAAAGCAATTAGGATCAGCATGTTTGCGAAGGATTGTTTTTCAATAGAGCAGAATGTAGTTTTGTTGAATCCCCTTTATTGTGAAAGAGAACTATTCAAATGATTGTAAACCACAGAAAATACCAGAAGCACTTAATAAGCCTTTAGTACAAACACATTTATTTTTCAAACTCGGGACATTTTTCTGGAGTATGCTTGTGATCTAAATACTCCTTTCCCTCCTTCTTGTTGCAACATACCATTCCAATCTGCTTGTTTGTAGCATGTAGGCCATAAGGAAAAGCCTTATTCACATTCCCACAAAAGAAATAAATATTTGTCTCTAGGATCCATTGAACTGAACTTGACTAAATCCTGATAGAGGCTCCAGTCTTTATAATAGGCATGTAGAGGATGGATAGTCTTTCATTATCAGTAAATTCCTATTAAAATAGCTAAGCATTTCATTAAATTATTCAAATGCATTTGAATAATTATTATTCAAAGTGTTGTTCCAAAGTAGACACTCTTCCTTAGATGTAAAGTGGGCCTAGGACTTTGATATAGTCAAAATACCCTAATGATAGGAAATGTTTGCTGCTGCTGCTGCCAAAAGTGCCCCATATATTTCTAGGGAACAGCTCGGGCATTGGAAGAATATAATTCAAACTTAAGCATTAATAGAAGATGGAGTTAGGGAGTGGTTGTACCTTTATGACATAGCACAAAATGACAACATGAAGTACATTCTGGTGACCTAAAATGCTAGCATCTGTGCAGGGTAGTCTAGGAAATGACACCAGTTTAAAAAGAAACCAGTACAAACTTGAAAACAAACCAGGATACATATAGATTGAAATTTATAGGAAAAATTAAAATTTAGAACCACCAACCACCTCGCCCCAGCACTGACATTGTACTTCCTCAGACACACGGCCATCATTGGGAAGCCTGGGAGAAAACGGAACCAATTTGAAGCCTGCTAAATCATTAATCATACAGCCAAGTTTTTGTGTATGTAGCCTCAAAGACTTTTCAACATATTTTTCAACATTACAGTTGTAGGAATGGAAAGTGAAATTATATTTTCTTTCTTAGAGACAGCTTACAGACTTTTTACAGCCCCCAATGTGAAAATATGACACATCGCCACCATCACACAGCTATTTTGTTTATAACCCATAAGACAATGTTACAGGACATCAGGCTCCCGAGGTCTAAGTGCTTCCTTCACATGCCTTTAATTGTTTTGCTTTCCCCTGAAAAGTAGTTCAGAACCCAGGGCTAAACAGATTCTCCTTTCAGGTCAAGTGTTATCTGCTGGCAAAGTACCTTCGGGTTAAATATGCCTGCGTCATTTCCACATCCTGCAAGTCAAGCCTCCATTTATAAGCTTAAACTCAGCTCTGGGTCTGTCTATTCAGAACTTCCCACATTTACTTCACGTGGGAAGAGAGACTTATTCAAGGAGAACGCACGACCGGCCTCAGAAAGTCAAACTCAACCTCATCTCGTGAAAAGAACCTCAGTAGTCTCCCACTCAATCACTTGCTGTTCCTATTATTTCCTAATTGTCACGATTAAATAAAATTAAATGCAAATAATAAAAAGTAAATAAATAAAAAAACTTAAAATAAATAAAAAAAATACATGGTCTAGCAGTTTTCAGAGAAGGTAATGAAGATCAATTTCCAATAAATTCACATTCCTTTCTGTACCAGTTTCTACAATGAGTGGGCAACACTGCCCTCTAAAGGGCTTCTTATGTTACAGCCCTTAGCTAACATGACGGCAAGGTGCCCCAAGATGCATTGATCAATGCACACACATTCTTTTACTTCTGGGACACAGTCTGTCCTTGACCTTCAGTTTGAAGACCATGGAGCTCCTAGAGAGGCCCTGAGATTGCGTGAAAGCTCATTGAGGGGATCAGAAACGAACATCTGTTGCAGTGGTTTTCAAACTTTAGTAGGCATCAGAATCACCCAGGGGCTTGTTTAAATGCACCTCCAGAGTGTCCGACTCCATAAGTCAGGGGCTGAGTCCAAGAATTTGCCTTTCTAACAAGTTCCCCGGTGATGCTGATACTGCCAATCCAGGGGCTACTCTTAATGAGCCAGACATTGTGCTAGGCACTGTATCGCACATACGACTCACAACAGAGTAAGGGTTTGGCATCTCTCTTTGACTGACCAGGAAGCCACGTCTCAGAGAGACTAAGTGGCCAAGATCACAAAGTAGTGACAGGGTACGTAAGAAACCCAAGACTATCTAACTCAAAGCCATTGCTCTCTCTGTACACTAGGAAGTCAGTACATGAAGCTGTAAGTCACTTCATCTTTCTTGGCCTCAGCCTCATCCTGCAAGGGACAGCACTTAGAGATGGGTTGGTCCCCCCTCTCAGCGCCTGAATATGAAGCCACCCAGGAAGGTCCACTCCATCCCCAGGCTGGAGCTGTGAGTGGATAAGCTGAGAGGGGAGGGGAAGGGATTTTATGTCAGAGGGAAGGGCCTCTCTTGGATCCTGAACCCTCCCCTCCTACACTGTTCAGAGGGGGTCACTTTGCTCTGGATTCTGGAGGTCTCTGTACTCAGAGACTCTGGAAGAGAGGCTTTAAGCTTGTGTCTCCCCACTAAGGCCTTCTGAGGGCCTCCAAGCCAAGCAGAGCTTAGAGAGGACCCAAAGGATGGCCATGTCTGCACCCTCTCCAGCCTCAGCTCAAACCACCTGGGCAGGGGCAGGGACCACCCAACAACTTAAAACCCGAGTGCCCATTAATGTGAAGACTGGACGATTCTGATCAAGGAAAAACAGTTTTCAGGTCACCTACTCCATGAGGATCAGAAAATAACACAGTCCTCAGCAGAATGTTACGGTGACGGGAAAAGAAGGGCTGCGAGGACCCTTCCCCTCCAGCACAGTTTCTTCTCCTCCTTTGCACTCAGCTCCTAACGCATTTGGGCGTTTCCCGAGGGAGCTAAAATTCCAGAGCATCCCACAGGGGTGCTTTCTGGCCTCCGTCCTTAGGAGAAAGGATGTTCTCTGAAAAACAGCGCCGAGGGCTGGTCGGCAGCGATCTTGAGGTCGTGGCCACGTCTGGACTGGGTGCGGAGCTGGACTCTGGACTCCAGCTGCTCACTGAGTTCGTCCAGAGCCCCCGTGCAGGACTCCAGGCTCTCCGCCAGCTTCTGAATCTTGGCCTTCAGCACGGCCTGGCTCACCCTGGTGGCCCCCTCGGCCCGCCGGGGGAGGAGGAAGCCGCGCGAGCCGAAGAAGACGATGAAGTAGACGGAGTTGTACAGGGCCATGGAGGCGTTCCTCCCGCTCTGCAGCAGCTGGCGGTCCCCGCGGCCCTGCCAGCGGCAGAAGAAGTCGAGGCAGCCCAGCAGCTCGCGCATCTGGTCCTGGCAGGCGGCCGCGATCTCCTGCACCCTGCGCACCTCCCGCGAGTGGCAGAAGATCAGGGAGAGGTCGGACGTGATGGTGACGGCCCCTC